AAATGCTGGGACTAGGGGTATATGAATGGGGCTACATAAGCTACTTTTGCCTAAATTGTGTTTATAATTAATCTCTGTGCTTATTTGGGTCATCATGCACTTCTTTCCTGTGCACCTTAGCAATGGTATGCGCTCCTTGTCCCGGCGATCGCCCTTAATGCTGTCCAATTGCTAGTTGAACCTAATTTTCACCGTTTAAGCGGACGTCCCATATGACCTTTAGATCTGGAGACGACCGATTTTTACCTCTTGGGCTTTCTCATGATTTCAGTTGGTTTCCCTTTTCCGTGTTTTGACTCATTTCCCTTGAGAAGAATCCCTAAGGAAAGTTCCTTGTGTGCGAATACTATTCCTGTCCACTGTAACCCTAGCTAAGAACGATTTTTATTACATAAGTTGTATAAGTTTAAGTCAATTAATCCTCCGATTCTAGTGCCGTAATTATTTTACTAATCTGCGTTCGCGAAGTTGGTTGCGCTTTTTTATCAATCGATTAAGTCACATAGTGTCATGAAAAGGGAGTCCTAACTACTGGTGATTTTACATTCAGGGTCCTGTCGTGGTTGTTTCAGTGGGTTTCATAGAAAACCAATGGGTGTGTATGATTGCTCCGAGTTGTCCCGGTTTTTCGTCAATTTGGAGTAAGGAGATTTTAGATGTAATTGAGCGTTGGGTTTGCGTTTAGGTTTCGAGCTTTCTTTCGGTAATCGGATTTGTGAATCAGCCTTAGGCGGCGAGGTAAGCTGCTTAATCTCCCTTTACCCAATTTGGCTTCATACTGACTTGTCCGAAGTTGCATTTCTGTGCCGTTTGATTTTTCTGTTGGCTTCCGCTGCCACCCGCCAGCGACTGCTTGTCAAGTTCTCGATCTGTTCACCCCCACCTCCCTCCCCCGCCATATATTATCCACTTTTTTTTACGAAAATTGCACATCATAGGGAAGCATTATTCCGCAGTCACAAATAATCGAATGTCCTTCGCAGTCATTCTTTTATTCCCTCTCCCCCTTCATCCAGCTAGTCAATGGCAGACAACACCTTCGCGGAGGCGTTTGCGCGAAAACGCATCCTGCCCCAACAGCAGGGCCAATCAGATTTCAGCTTTGAGGACGAGAAGGGCGCTCGAGCTGGTCTCAACTACCAGAGTCTGGTGCCGGCCACAGGCAAGCCCAGAACGCG